CTTGGCTTAGTGAAATAGAAAAGTGTAAGTAACCAAATGGATTTAAATGATTTAATATGCATTATATTTTGTTTCATCGTACATGCATATAAATTTGACATGTATTATTGTTTTTATCACGTGGTAGTCGGTAAACACCTCCTATACATGTATATGTACCTATATATAAATACGAATGAATTCAAACTGTTTGATTATATAAAATATAAATGCCTGTACGTATTACGTAAACTATATAGTTAGGTAATCTTAAAAACACCAAGTTACACTTTGGGGGGTTTATTATGACAAGACCCGGCCGTGTATAATAAAACTATTGTAAACTGCTATCGTTTACACCGAATATTGCCCTGGTTTCGTTTAAGACTATTATCGCAGGAGCAGGGCAGTGGATACCCTATAATTCAGCCATATTTCGAGGTTTGCAGCCAACGGTGGGTGGTAGGTAGGTACATGTATATACTATATAGTATACCTCGACTTCACCACTAGCTCTCTTAAAATGTATTAATAACATAGATGTAAGCATGAATATTGCATAATATTATTATGATTACATTTTGTTTATAGTAGGTACGTATCTATGTAATTTGTTAGATCTAGGATATCTAGATAGTAGGTAGGTACCGTTCAGATACTAATCGAATTGCTGTGAAGACCTAAACATTTATCACGATTTAAATGTATAGGTAATATTTTATTTAAATAATATCCCCATGTATACCAAATTTTTATTTACAAACCATTAACTATACGTATAGTTAATATTATAATACTTAGTGGTACAGTTATGGGACCGTTGACGTGCGCCAGTTGAGTGTTGTTGACCTACTTATTTATATTATATAGGTAGGTACAGCAGAATAACTTAAAACACCAAAATGTATTTATTATTATATATAACGTTTCACCTTAATAATATTATATAGCGCTTAATCATGCAGTGAATTATTAACACTGGACAATACTTATGTGTAGTAGGTTAAACACAATCACAAAGAATAAATTGAAAGAATCACTATAGTTAAAACAAACAGAGTAAAAACCATACAATTATAAAACTGAGATGTTTACAATTGTATGACATATAGTTAGGTAGAGCATAAATTAATACAATACATTTTAAAACTTTATTAATTATAAAAGTAGAATAGGGCAGATGAATATCTTTTCAATTATTTCTATTCCAAAAATCCTTATATCTAGGGACCTACCTACCCACGATTTATAAATTTATATAGCACTCAAATCCCGTAAAATGTAAAATTATTAGTTTCTCCTAGAAATCGTTAATTCACCTACAACTTCTAGACATTTTCAATTAAGGAAGTAATTAGTAATTACTATATACTTCGCGTGCTTGAAGACCTACAAAACAAATGCCGGCTCACGACATTTTATAAATCAATACAAATGGGTTGTTTTCGTAGTGTGAAGTTAACAGTTAACACAAATAATGTATTGTATATTCATATACATCCATTTAAAATTATATGCACACTTGGAAAGTAATGGTTTTAAAATCTTTGAATATGATATAATACCTAACAGGTTTGTATTTCATTGATATTTGTATTATTTCATTAATAATAATTAATAATTATTATTATAGACATGTAAAAACTTAATCAATACATTTAAAAATTATTTTTTGATTGATTAGTAATTAAATACAATTAAAGTCATAAAATAAAAATGTGGTTAAAAATTAAATTTAAATAAACTTAACACATGGCGTTTAGACGTTTAAGCTTCAAAAACATACATACTTATAATATGAATATTGCATACATATAAGCTATATGTCAACTTATAGGCATATATAAAATAATGCTAACCCATAGCCTACTATAATATGCATATAAATACATACACACACATATATATATATATATATATATATATATATAATATAATATAATATATATGTGTGTATGTATAGGCATAATTTAGCCTATATATATGTATATAAATTGAACATTTTAAAGGACCACTTGGGTTTAAAATTAAGTCCTATTTTTATTTTTATAGAGGACACTTTTGGAGTATCTATTTGAAATGCTCAGATACTGTTTATGGTAGGGCATTTGACTGACGCTTGCCAATAGTTTAATACTATACTTCAGTTTTTTGAAAAACTTAAGTTACCTACTATTAATTATTAAAGGTTATTGTATTTTTCAGTTTATAATATTATCTTCATTGCTCAATGATTGGACCAAACCATTGGTTATAACTTTATGAATTCCGCATAGTTTTAATTATTTAATATTTTGTTATGAACTTTTCCCATTTAATTGTCAATAAGTCAACAATGTGTACAATACACAAATAATTAATTTTTATTATTCCTTTAAAAATGGAAAGTTCGTTTAGTAAAATCCAGAACTTTTTATGATTTATATATTATTTAATTCAAATATAAGTTAATGACTAAAATAGTAAAATAGTGTGGAATATATTATATATTATAATATATATACTATATAGAATATAGATACAATACACAGCGTCCAACTGGGTTTATCCTTGTCAATAACACTTTCTCTAATTTTCAAATGTTTGCATATTGAAATAATGGCCCAATAGGTAAAATTTATGTTTCATATTCTACTTCATTCTTCGTAAAAAAATTATAATTATATTTCTTACTAATTGTTAATATCGTAGTAGATAATGTATAGTATTTAGACATTTAGTCATTGACTCAGAAAAAACTGAGTCAGTCCCGGTTGTAGGACAATCGATGCATATTCCTTCCTAGTATAAGTACGTGAATAAGTCAATTCAAATATTTTTCTACAAGGTATAAATATGCATAATATCATACACGAATCAATGACAGAATAATAATAATAAGACAATGATTATAGTGTATTACGCGTTTTAGTGATTTTATTAATTTACCGTCCTGTATACATTTTTTACTGAACGACATAATACAGCAAAATAGAGGGTAGGTACGTACATAATAATATGTAGGTATATATTTATATATATATATGATATATATATAGGTAAACTTTAAACTACCCCATTGCGTGCACATGTATCAAGCACGCACAGTTAGCGAGACGAGAAGTAAAAAAAAATACTCGCAGGGTAAAAAAAAACTTTAAAATATATGTATAATAGGTATACTATTATACAGTGTGATTCACCAATCATGAGCTCTCCCTCTTTTTATCCTTTAGTAATTAAAATATTCAAACACTAATTTTTGGAATTTTTATGTTTACCTAAGAATCATATTTTTAAATACGAAGATCTTTTTATAAAATTTAAGGAATCTATTGTGGCCACCTATTTTTTTTTTTAAACCAGACGAATTAAACAATTTTCAAAAATTTCGAGGTAGGTATCTATATAAATCAAAATTCAAACAAATAGTTGTTGTGCTATTCAACTTTGGGTACCTACTAAAGACATTATTATGTTTATAATAATTTACTTAAAAATGTATATTGTGCTATGGTCGTTTGAACATTTTAGTACCTAACTAATATAGTAATATGATATCTATATTAACATTATATAACAAGTAAAAATTGTCTTTTCAAGGTGAAGCAACCATAATTAGTTATGTGTTAAGAATGTGCATGTATTAACGTTTTTATTAAACATTAATAAACGATGGCAGCAGAGGAGTAGTAGTGTTCACACAGATCCTCCTCTGCTGTCGGTTCAAACGGAAAAAAAAAAAAAAAAAAAGTAAAAATTGTCTTAGTATCATAAATAATGAATCCAATATTACATACCTACATTTTATATTTTTTTGAAACTATTACTTATTAGGTACTATCATTAATCTTACTCCTTACTCCTTAGTATATCTATTATACAATATATTATACATTATATTAATCCAGAAACTAATCTTACAAACATTTTTCCCAAAAATTATCTGTTTAACAATTTAGATAAATTAACGTTGGTTTTCATTTGAAAAAAAAAAATCTGTATCGCAACAAAAGTACAGAACACTCCTTAAATAGAACAAAAAATCTCGATAACTGAAAATATGGTCTTATTCCCTAAGTGCGCTAAAAATTTCAAAAAAATCATAATTTTAATAAATTAATTATAAAAGGACAAAATGGGGGTGAACAATAGTTTGGTGAATCATTCTGTATATCTCTTCCTACAATTCAACTGTTCGACAAATCATATTAGTGAATTGTTTGCATATTACCAACGTATGTGTGTCTCGTGTCTGCTGTACACCTTATCCGTAATATTATAAAGATATCCACGTACAGGCTTGATTCATGGAGCGTGCTCATGTCTTTTTGTATTTTAACTATGCATTTATTCAAATTCTGATGTTTGATATTTCTAAGTACCTTTATGGTATACCTACTTTAAGACCATATTTCAAAATACTTCCTTATTTACTATACATTTTTGAGCATACGATCTTTGAAAATGTTGTTACATAATATATAAATAGAAATTATAACGAGTAGTTTCTGAGGTAATAATGAATTCTATAATATATCAATGCGTAATAGTCCTTATGAGTTATGGAATAAATGAATAATATACGATTTGAATATCATAGAAAATAAATAACCACTTAATAATAATTAAGATTCTTATTTTAAGAAAAAGTGTTATCACCTCAAGACATTCCTTCGATGTCTATCCATGTATTTAAAAATATGGCCTTATATTATATATGGTATAGGCAGTACCTGCCTGATGAAAAATTCCAAAAATCAGAATTCGATTAAACGGTTAATCATAGAGAATGCATTACGGGGTTGACCGTGTTCGGGCAATCACTCCGTATATAAATATTATACTTTACAGAGCTACCTGCCTATACTTACACATCGCATGTATACAGTATACACACATATACATAATTCAGAGTGCGCTTGAAACACACGAAAAGCGGTGTGTGTGTATGGTTGCTAGTGCACGCGTTCGCGCCGTTCGACGTGGTCGCTTATTATTAGTGTTGTTTCGATTGTTACTTTTTCCCCCCGTTGGACTACATGACGAGTAACAACAGCAAGCCGTTGAACAGCGTTGGCGGAGGCAGTAAACATGTTCGATCGCATAGTCTGAAAAGCTTTCCGGCAGTTGCCGTGGCGGTTATCGATAATAGGAAACCGCCGGATAACGTCGGCGGCGTGGCGGCTGCCGGGAGCGATCCACAAACAACTATGAAAATTACATCAACGTGGAAACAGGTGTTTATTTTCAATTTTCCGATACTGTATTATACGATAATATGATGTTATAATAGAACGACGGTTATTAAGGTTTCCTGAATATTTTCATTGATTAGGCGACTGGCTACAAATCGAAGATTATTGATATTTGTAACACTGAGTAGGTAGGTATCGCACTACAAGAAAAATCTTTAAATGTATTAGTGCGTAGGAGGTGTCAATTTCATTCAAAAATGCTTTTGTTCAAATTTTAATTCATCGCACCCATACTAACCTAGGTAGGTATTATATAATATTATTTAGAAAAATATAGATCATAATATTGTAATCAGCTTTTATCTTTTGGGAAAAAAACAAAATAATCTATATAAAATGAGACAGTTTTAATTATACTTTATTGTACAATTCCATCTATTGTTCATCGTTTTTATACTAACACATAAATAAAATACTTTTTTATTTTTGTGACAATATAATATTACTATTTATACGTCATATTGAATATCAATTTTTAACATTAATTTTTTAAAAATATTAAAATAGTTGCGATTTTTGACGTACCTACCTAGCTAATGTCCTATATTGCTTAAAAAATCCTATATGTATAAAAAACGAATTGTATTAGTTTTTTTTACACATAAATAGGTTCATTCATATTAATTGTTAACTGCCTGTCTGCCAATAGTATTATATTCGTGTTTTATAGTCAAAATTAGATCATTTTTTTGATAATATAAAGTAGTAAGTACGAAGACTTTTTAAACTATTTTTATTTATGGTAAAACGTTTAATTTATTATATATAGTTGTTTCGTGTGGTCGTGTGGATCAATATAAATTAACTTTTTTTTAAAGAAATATTTTATTATATATATTTAAATTGCTAGGTATTAGTAAATTATTTTTCTATTATAACAATAAGGTAGGTTGAACTAATTTTTGATAAATTCCAATCGCATACATTTTATAACAATGATTATAATATTTCTTGTTGTAATTAACTTATACACCTTATAAAATAAATAATAATACATATTTTGTAAGAATCTCAAATAAATTTTTATTGTACTCCTAAATTAAGTCCTAAATATCTTATGATTAATGTGTATGTGGTTACTGGTTCACTCGTTTGCAACTATAAAAATAACATAATATTAATATTTTATAACATAATAATATTAACATTATAATTGTGCATGTATATTGTATAGTATACTCAGTGTATGTACAATATAAGTTATAAGTTATAACAATTGTTAGATGGGAGGAGTGGCCGAGTGGACTAAGGCGTAGGTAGCGACGCACACCGACGCCTGTTCGATACTTCGGCCATGGGCAGCATTTTTCTTCGGGCAAGTCACGGTGTCCGGAGAACAATTATTGCCGCCATCCCCCACTCGGGCATGGCAGATACCTACGGGTGCCCAAATCAAAAATTCGGCCGAAACAAACACACACGGGTCCCCCCACCCTACCAACAAAAACCTACAAACAAAAAATAGCTAATGGCCTTAGCTGCCGGGCTCAAGTTCAATAAAAAAAAAACTGTTAGATGGTTGCATTAATGACATAGTGAAAAACCAAGAATATATCATAAATATTTGAATTGAGGGTCATTAATATAATAAAGCTATTTGAAGCCGATTAAGCATGTCTGAAATTGTTAAAAACTTATTAGGTAACTTTAGGATGCAACTTGACAGAAACAGATAATATTATTTTATTTATAAAAGTATTAAAAATAATGGGTAAATGTAGACGAGTGAACTAAATCAATATCTACCTACGCAAGTACAATATTATGTATCATCGCATAATATAATATAATATGCAACTGAAGGCTAAAATAAAATTATGTAATTTATTTATATTGAAAAATAACGTATTAATCAAAAAAGAATTCACTCAAATGCGTCTTTTGTAATCAATGCTTACATAATAATATTTGAAATATAATATGTTTAAAAATTGTATTATATTCTATCTCTTCAGTAGGTATTTTTTCCAATTCAATACCTCATCAACTTGATACAACTCGTCAATATGTAACTTGCAACAGGCTGTGACCTGGTTTATGTTTTTTGCACCTTCTTAATTTTTACCTTAATTATCCGTTACCAATACTCAAATCATAATCGGATAAATACATTTAAAAAAAATGGAAAATTAATTTAAGCGTAACATAGGTATACACATTTTTTAATTACTTGATTAGTTAAATTAAACTAAATTTAATCTAGTTTAATTGTTTTTACAAAATTCTTATTCAGAATTGGTTTTATTTATTTTATCCATAGTAAATCAAAACAAATATTAAATGTTAAGGCATGTGATCGAACTAGAGATCGAACTAAACAACTGTTACGAAGAACAATGTCGTGGAAAAGTAATACGATCATAATGCAGCCCGAAGAACGCAAGTCAGAAGAGTCATCCAGTACGTGGGAAATCCATGTATGGGGTATGTTATGTAATAAATAATATTTTTTTCTATGAAAGAAGGGCCATAAACATTTTTCTTAAATATAATGGTCTACCTGTTATTATAATGTCCGAATTCTTTGACGCACGTGTAGAACTGATACGATATTCGTAAATAACTAATAAGCATATAATAATATAGGTAACAACTACCAAGTTGTCCTGTATAACATAATATATACAAGCCACAAGGTAAAGGAAACATTTAAATAATATTATATCAGACACCATAGTATTGAATTTTTAACGTGCGTAAAGCGTATTATTACTATACATTCTGTATAATTTATAATTTATTCAAACTATTGTTTTATTTAGGTCCTAGATGTCTAGATACTATATATTATAGAAAATATAAAGTAATTTCGTTTTAAATATTCGTGTTTATATTCGTAATTGAAAAAAAGTAACAAGAAATTAAATAAATAAGCTGTTAAGTTACAATAATAGTGACACTAAAAAAATAGGACGTTATATAATGTTTTCAGCAATATTGAAGTATATGATGAGTACCATATACATATGGTCAACATTTAAAAAAGTGGCTACTATCCTAAAAATAAATATAATATTGACATCATTATTTTTGCTATTTCGGATCAAAAAAAAATCTATTATATACACAGAATATATTATAGCTTATGGGATTTTCGGTTGAGTGGTGGTGGGGGGGGGGTAGTTGTGTCCTAACGAGTACTAACTGCTAGTATTTTTCAAGTTATAAAAATATAAATATTACCTTTTATTTGTGTTTATTCTTTTTTTAGCTTCTTGGATGAAACGTTATGCTAGTGAAGATGAATCAAAAACATTGGATATTCCATTTAAACTATCGCCTTTACAAGAGGAAAAGTTATTGATTTTTTTTAAATATTATTTAGACGGCGATTGCGATGGGTTCGTATTTGAACACGATTTCCATCAGTTTGCTGAGGTATATATAATTGTATATAATATGACTGTTTTAGATAATTGATTGCATTCTATTTTAGTTAATTAATTAAAGTTTAACTGTTTACTGTATAGCCCAGGCTTTAAACAATAATAATTATAATTTATCATCAATAATGTTCAATTTATTTTTGGTAGATTAATAAACTAATTTGTTTCTGTTCAAATACATTTACTTTAGCTACCTTGTAGTTTAGTTAACATTGTCAGTAGATAGTATTAAGGGGCCTGCTCGCGATTTTTCAAATTTTCCGCAATTCTATAAAATTTGAAAATTAAATTTTATATTTTAGTTGCCACCTCAATTATAAGACTTTTCCACTAATCTACTACCCAATACCTATTTAGGGGGGGTTGATAGGGTGTATTATATCGGTCAAAACACAGTTTACAGGAAAAACTCTCACACCTCGTAGATTGGTCCGATTTCCGTAATTTTTTTTTTGTTAGATAGAGGAATATTTTTTACAGGGCGCATTGGACTTCGATTTTTGATTACGTCGCTAAAAACAAAAAATAATACAAAAACTAAAAAGTTGTAAAAATTGATTAAATTCAAACTTGTAACATCAGACTTAGAAAAATAATTTTGAAAATCCAAGTCCAATGCACCCTGTAAGAAGTCTTCCTCTATCTAACAAAAAAAAAATTACGGAAATTGGACCAATCTACGAGGCGTGAGAGTTTTTCCTGTAAGGCATGTTTTTGAGCAAAAAAACAGGTCGCGTGCAGGCCCCTTAATATAATTTTATTTAAATGAGACCAAAATAATAGTTAAGTATAAAATATTAATTGTTTCTTAAATATTCAGGATTTTGTTGGTGAAAATTTGAATTTTGAATAAATATCTTTATCATATTTTGGCTTATAATTAAAACTAACTTATATTATTATTATTCATAAAATATAGAAATTAAGACGTTTTGCTGATTGGTCACCGAATAGTGATGAATACATAATATTAAAACAAGTATTAACGGAATTAATTCAAGTATTCATTCAATGTGAAAGCGGCCAAAGTAAGCATGGGACCAAAATTATCTTTATTTATCTCTCTATATTGTTATAACAGTGTCAGTAGCACAGTAGAACTCATTGCACTAAAAAAAAAAATGGTTTCTAAAATATCCAATATATATATCTCATATTCTCATATAACTCTTCTCATTAGATATCATAAATCATTGTTAAAATTATTTAACATGCTCAAAAAATATATAAACGATAGAAATTGTGGATTATTTTTATTCATTATAAATATTAAATGATAAACAGTTCAAATATTAAAATATAGTGTTATGCTTATGAAAAAATCTGAAAAAAAGGAATTTAGGTACCGGCTTGTTTATTATTAATATAATAATTAATAATATAATATTATTATACATATAGTATACATATGGTATATATAGTATATAATATTAAACAAGATTGTGTTTATCAAAAGTGTACAATGGTGGGTTCGATGGGTCCATTGGGTCACGTAGAAGTGTAGAACTAATTCAAATAGAATGATAATATGGATCCCTTGAGATACATTGTAAGTAATCTTTGTAAATAATATATAATATACGATATAAAATATAGATACCTCATTAAATTTTGGTCGGATAGTTTTAAAATATAATATAAACTAACGTTAATTTTATAATTCGTTCGTTTTAAATTCTGTGTAGGTACAAATTGCTTAACCCAATTGTACCCAATTGATCGTATTTACTCTATAAGATCAAACATTTAAAAATAATAGTTTTTAAAACCATTATATTAGCATTTTATTAGCCTTAATTATTCAATTATGTGAAGTATGAACTATATACCTTTATACCAACTAGCTTTGTGTAATTCCTAGGTGTTGCGTTTACTAGTCTATCAACAGACGACTGGCTTAAAATATGGTGTCAAACATTAAGCAAGTGTACCGTAGCTTCAGACATGCCATTGTGGCTGAAATATTTTCAGAACATATTGTATAAGTCTTTGGATTCAGGTTGTTATGGTCATCTTAATATTCGTAATATTTAAAAAGAAGAATAGTACCTAATTAAATAATACCATACATGTACACATAATACGAATTTAATTTATACAGGTAAAGGCGAAATAGAAAAAGCAAATTTACAAAGGTTCTACTGTACGTTTCTCGATTCAAACTGTGAGGAAGCTAAACAAGTTGTGATCGATGTGATATACGATTCACTAACGTCAGTAAGTTGTTCACTTTACTGGAAATGTCTGAATGTCTGATACAATGATGCATAAATGCATAATAACATTAAAATTACCATTGCGTCCTAGGTCTATAATTATTTTCCTTGCTTTACTTATGTCATGTACTTATGTGTTAACAGATGCCTAACATAATAGTCGTATATAATATTATATAATTAAACCAAACTAATAATTAATAGAAACTAATCTATATTGGTAAATAGTTTTATTCAAAAGAATATTTAAACAATTGTATCCAAGTCGAATCGTGTACCTAGGAATGTACCTATATATAATTATGTAGATGCAGAGATGCTGTACACAAATATTACAATTATTACAATTATTATTTAAGCTAGGAAATAGGTAGGCAGCCCGTAGGTATATAAGAAAAAGTGCTACAGTTGTTATGCATATCTTTATTAGTTGAGAAATAAATCTTTTATATATAATGATATAAAATATTGACATATCGATTTTCAGGCTGCAAAATTTTAAGGTGTGCCGAACTTTTTCACTACAGGACCACAGGACTACATAATTGTCAGGAAGGGGGCACTAAATAAGTTTATGTTTAGTTATTAATCATTAAACAAAAGCGTATGAAGATGGTGATTGATTTTTATTTTGGTTTATAAGTTCTGTGGAATCGGAACTTTTAAAGTTTATGTTTACTTGTTTACACCATTTCTAATTTTGCTCTTGATTATTCTATATGTTTTATTTTTCGTATGCAGCAAAACTTCTCAATATTTTTCTTTTCCTATTCTGAAGAAGAATATTATTCCGGAAAATGCATAAATATAAAGTATACAAAGTATAAATATGATCTGATACTAAACTTATACCTAAAATGTTATTCTTACTAGCGTTTAAAGTTTAGTTAAATTGAGTAGCAGTAGTACACGTAGAAATATAGGTGCACGCTAATCCGTCCATCTAAACTTTTTAATCGTCACAGGTAGGTACATTATTATTTCCAATATTTACATAGGTAAAAGGAATTAACCAAGAACTAAGCGGGACACAACTATATTACTAACTTAACTCTACAAATATATATTTTTGGTTATCATATTTATTAGCCATTGGGTAAAATAGGCGCAATTTGAGTTTTTTGGGCTATTATAATATTTACATGTGTGTCTATGTCCCAAAGATAGATAAAGGGATGAATTTTTTTTTGTTCGGGCCGCCCCTTCCCCAAATTGTGCTATGTACTTAAATAGTTTTTATTTAAATCTAATCATTATTATGTTGTTTATTTTTGACTGTAGAATGGAGACTTTAAGCTGGATCGCGATACTTGGGGCCAATGTTTTGCGAACTGGTTACTGGGCACCAAACCTAATGGATGTGGTCAATGGTTATTTGGAAAATGTGGTCCAACGCCTGAATTCTTCCCTATCGATTATTCTGCTATGAATTCGACGGTTGATACAAGGGATACTTATTCGCATAAAAGGCGGAGCGATAGACATTCCATTGTGGTCTAAAGAAAACAGTAATAATCAATAGGTACACATTTTTGTTGCCATGTGGACTATGTGCTAAACAGTCCATTAGTGTATATTTTGTATAAAGGAAATATAATCGTCTTGCCGTTTTCACATTTCTAAATGATTACGTTATTTGACTTCCTATATGGTAAATAGACAAAAGTGAAAAACCTTTTGACTAAAATCCTTAAGCTACGCCTATGGTAATGAGAGGCGAGAAGCCAAGATTTCCGAATCCCTCAACCAGTCAAACACCGAATCATTAATATTTAATACTATTATACTATTCAATATTTATAAGAATATCTCACCAAATAACCACTTACCTATTCAAAGTTATTTAAGACTTAATTTTAGGTGTAGATAGCATTAAGTTATAATTATGATTACAATTTAAAATGAAATGGTCACAGCAGTGGCGTAGCCAAGTGGGGAGGCTTAGGGGGCTATACAGCTTATAGCCTCCCCTCCCATGGGTTGTGATTTTGTGTATGGACTATACTACTATTTAGTATGTTTGTTTTTGGTAAATTAGCATATTACATCTTATAGATCGTCGTTTCTCTATATCTTTATCTTAAATATTTTTAAAAGACAAACTCAAAGAGTACCTATACTTTATTTCTGAAAATCTGTAAATATATTTTAATAGTTCTACTTTTATTCCTTTTCTCGATTATTTAACGAATCAATATCAATGAACACTAGTTTTAATCAAAGGCTTGCTGATGGCATGCCACTTGAAGGAATCAGACTACTATTCCAAAACTGAATTCTGTGACGGTCACAGTTACACCGTCTTGCCAAGGATTATTTCAATAAAACAAAATTGAAAAATTAACACACACGACCATAATTTATTATTTATAGCGAGGACTACGAAATCTAAATTCGTGACCATGAGTCATGAGGTAGGTATATTTGCATATTTTATACATTTAAAATTATTTAAATGCAAAAACATAGTATTTAGTTAAAAGTTAACAACAATTATATACATACGTACCTACCTAGTTTTTATTTAAACAATTTAATACTCTTGAATAGGTAGGTATATATTTTATATCAATATATATATATATGAGTCTATCTATGTAGGTATAGGAGTAAAAACGCCCGCACTAGTTTAAATAAAAGCATGTTATATGAATAGATTCATATTTCATTGTGTTTGTGTATCAAAGGTGTCAAAGTGTCATAGGCCACTTTTTATCCCGGAATTCAACCCATAAACTGCCTAATGAGTTTACATACTAATATACTATCAATATGCATTCCATCGTTAAAATAATAACAAAACTTAAGTACAAAAATTGAATTTATTTTGATTATTATTTGTTTAATGTTGTCATAATTGGTTAGCTACACGGATAAAAAAAACATATTATAAAAATGCTTCACTCTTAACTCTTAAGTACTCTTAGTTGAGTCTTGAGAATATTGTGTATAGGTAGGTAATTACGTATTGTACTATACTACATATCATAATTGTATATTTGTATGTTAATTAATAATTGGAAAAATTATAATAAGCTCCTAAGATTCGATAGGAAGATACTAAGGAAAATACATGGCCCGATTTATAATACCGAAGAGCAGAAATGGGAAATAAGATCAAATAATCAATTAAGTGTACTATACCGCCATATAAAAGGGAAAATGTGGATCGTTTCATTAGGAGCCCAAGACTAGAATAGTAGAATGGATGGCAGATGGGGCATGTTTGACGGCCAGATGATAGACTAATGAAGAATATCATAAGCGAAGAAATATAATAGGTAGGTACGAGACCACGGCCCCCGTGGAATACCTCGTCGAAGGGAATGAACAGTGTGCGATGATCGTGATGGAACTTACTCAGTCACGAGAAGTAGAGTGGAAACATATCAAAGAACAGAGAAAAATGGAAAGACTTAGTTCCATCAGCTAAAAGCCTGAATGGCTTGAAAAGTTTAAAAAAACATTGTGTGTAAAAAAATACTGGTGTATGTGAAATATATAATGTAACCATGTAGGTTAATGAATAAATTATAAATTTTAAAGCATGAAACATGTGTAATGGGAATAGAAACTAGGTAGAAAGCCCTATTTAATTAAAAATAAGTGAAAATTAAAATTTCTAGTTGTGTAAAAACAATAAAGTTACCTATTGACTATTTTACACCTACATGCTAAAATAGTGTAATGACATAATTTCAATGATTTTCAGTATTTTGTATAGTTAGATTGGAAAAATAGAATTCGATATCATTTGCACAAGATTGTGACTAACACTATTATATACTTTTATCAAAGAAAATGATATAAATACTATTTTTGGTATATTGTTTTTTTCTTGTATTTTATTGGTGGACGACGCTTTCAACCTAATCAGGCGACCGGCCACGTCCCTTCAATATAACTTATCAATATACATTTCGTAATATTTTTTTACAAAAGAATATGATTTTTTTTTTTGAGCTCAAGCCCAGCAACTGTGACCATTAGCAGTTTTTTTGTTTGTAGGTTGTTTGTAGGGGGAGTAACGGTTGGTTGAAACACGTTTGTATGTGTGGCAAGGATTTGTTGCTAAAAATCCAGGGTGGCCACCCATCCGGGAGCTATACGTAAACACCGGCCGATAGGCCACACTCAAAACATTTCCGCAGTTATGATATCCAGATATCCACATCAAGCCACAGAATATGATTTACCATTACTTGAAACATTTGTTTCGTTTTTCTCATATAATATTGGTTGTCGATACTTGCACCAAAGTCTCTCGACATAGTGAGCAAGCGACTTCTCTTTCAGATAAATGATTAAATACTCAATTAAGTCTTCCGATTTAGTAAAGATTTATATTTTTTAGACGGGATAATTTGAAAGAGAGACTGTGTGAAGTAACAGAATATTGTGCAGCCACTAAATATGTAGGGCTAGTAGGTCAAAATAAGTACTTTTTTAAAAATGTCTTTCTGAATTAAACCGTTTTACTCTCGTAAAGTTAATGCAAAACACTCCAAGCGTAGACGACCTGCAGGCAGATTGCTTTGGATTTGTGCATAAAGCGAGGCACAACGACACGGCGACTTGTCTGTGATCTGAGGTACACTCAATACAAAATACACCACGGAGCACCGTATTGTGTAATTACTTATAATTGTTCATTTTATCCCATTCGAAGTCGAGTATAGTACAGCTAGTGTAATATAACAAAAAAAAACAACAATTTTTCTATAACAATAATTGCCACGAATAAATAATGTCTGCCTATTATTTGAAAAAATAATATAGCTTAACATTTAAGTCGGCAACGGTTGTCAACGTGCTTTAAAAATATTGTTAACACATAATAAACATTACCTATTATAATTATAAAACATTATTATCCGACCATCCTACCCGTTCGTTTGACTTAAGTCTTATTTTTGAGTAGAGATGTATTCGGTTACAATAATATTATTTCTACGTTACTGCATCTTTTCGGAATCATTGGGTGGGCCGTGGTTTTGAGTCACGTCCCCCCGGATCCACGGAAGAAGTCCAACCTTGTACCCCAACATTTGAGAGGAATTGAGTATACGGCCACCGATTCAAAATTTCGATCGTCACCACCATCACCGATCTGCGATTGTTTGCAGGTATCCGAATACCCTTATGGCCTTATTCGTGCGTCATAGGTTAGCAGGTAAACGGGTGCCGTCCACTCTAGCTCGACGCTCCGCAGAAAAACGGATACCGTCCACCCCACATCAGGTGTCCAAAGGAAACCGGAGACCTTCCATCGGCGTCAACTAACTGTCCAACGCATGAATGTCCACCTCGACGCACAATGCCTCCGGGGCCGCGCTGCCGGACATCACCACCATGCACGACTTGCCACTTTGCCAGACTACCGTGCCACCGTGCATGAAATTTCGGATGATTCCGGAAATTCCATGTACCACGTGCCGGACTACTCTGCTTCCTTGTACCAAATGTCAGACCTTGCCACATTGTACCGCATGCCGAATGCTGACCCCGTGTACCACATGTCGGACAATACGACCTGCCAAGTTGAAATTCCTCAGGGCTTAACCACAAGGCGACACGATTCTATAAATAATTCAAGTATAATTGTTTTTTTTGACGACGGCGCCTTGTGGTTAAGCCTCTGAGGAACTCCAACATGGATATCGTATTGTCCGACATGTGGTACACGAGGTCAGAGTTCAGCATGCGGTACAAGATGGAAGTTTCTGACTGCACCGAGGTCGTATTGTGTAGTTTTGTAATTTATTATGATAGATACTAAAAAAATTATTCTACATTTAAATATACTTATTTTCGATATATATAACGAATAGTTTTAATTAAATATATTGTAATGTATATTGTACAATGATTAATTTGTATTATATCTATCTAACTATATTATGTGGTTTGTATATTTTTTATTTTTTAAGTTTTGTTATTTTTATTGGTTGTCTCTCCACTTAACGCAAATAAAATTTCTTCACAAGTCACTTATCTACTAGAACTCGACTACCGGAAAAATATTGTAATATTTAATGTTTGTTCGTTTGTATTTTAATAGTTTATACATGTATTTAATCCTATTACTAATTATAATAGGCGTGTTTAATTTATTTCAATAATTTATAAATACTGTACTAATTAATTATAATATATTAATTATTAGTTTTTGAAACATTGTGTTCAAGAAATTAAAAATACATGTCATTAAAATAAAGCTGAGTTTACACATGAGCAAAAGCACGGTTGAGCAGTAGTGAGTTTGAGCAAAACATGAGCGTTGTGCGCATCGGGCGTGGATTCAGGGGGGGCTATGGGTGCTAGGGCACCCTCTGTCTTCTAAGGCACTCTAAGCCACTATTAAAATACATTTGTATTCAAAATTCTAAAATAGAAAGGTGTAACTATTTTTTTTTTTTAGATTCTGAGCTGAGCGATGTGTGGATGATGTGTTTTTATATTAATTTTTTTTAGTTTCTGTCATCACCGTATTTGGGGTAGTACAACTGCTTTGATTTTCTTCAACAATACCTACCTATCTCGATCGATGAGAAAGTGAATATAGTTGGTTCATTCAGAAGGTCAAAATTTTAAATTCCAATAGTTTTAAAAGTGCCAAGAATAACAAAATAAAAATTAAGGAAAAACGGGAATTTTTAAGCAAAATCAGTTTTCGATAAAATCAATTTTGGTTTTTGGTGTACGTAACTCTAAAAAAAATAACCGTAGATACATGACATTTTCACTGAATGTTTATATTTGCATTAATTTCTGTATACGATCAAATTCACACGATCAAAATATTTTGACTTGTTTTGAACTGTTTAAGGACATACCTAATACATTTTCAGTTTTTTTCTATGATTACCAATACAATTTTATTTGTTGTGTAAGAATGCTTGAAACTTTAATTCAAGGCTCTTAATATATTATTAAAGTGACATTTGAAAAATATTGAATATACAGTCACAATTTTTCTAATAAGCATTTAGAGTTCAAATTTTGACAAAATACATAAAAATCATGAAAATGTGCACATTTTTTGAGTTAGAAATACATAAAAATGTTGTTTTTAAATCTAACATTAGAAAATTTAATACGAGATTCCTCATAAGTATGTCTATAACTTTTTCAAAAAAAAATATCTACCGGAAAGTAAAATTAAATTTTTACATCATTGGATATTCTCTCGATTTCTCATGTAGGCATGTAGCAATTTTCTTATGTTGTTGTAATTCAAACACGAATAACTGTAGAATGTAGATACTTGAATTTTACACCATATACCTAACAACTTATCATTTCCCATACTTGATAAAATGTACAAAATATTTTGACCTGTTTATACGGACATTTTAATTTTTTTTTTCTTTAATTGTCAATGAAATGTAATTTGGTTGGTCAAAATGCGTCAACATTTAATACAATTTAGCTCGTGCTGTATTTTTACTTTACCAGTTGAAAATTGCAGTTTAAAATACTTAAAGGCCAAATTTTTTTATAAGCAATTAAATTTCAAATTTTGACAAAATGTATCTCATTTTAAATTTTAAAATTATTTTGTAGCTAAAAATGTATAAAATGTTTAGTTTTTATAGCGAAGGATTGTCAATTTAAACAAAGTTCCACGTAAATAAATTACTTTATTCACAAAAATATCATCAAATATACCTACCTGGTAATATTATAGCCTGACTGACTGTCTTCGCCCAGAATCGTTTTTCCTATTATTTATATAAATTTATTTAGAACTCTTCTTTAAAGCCCGGGTTTTTGCCAACCCTGATAACTTTATATATCTACAGACTAGGTACAGTTGTTTTTTAGTTTCTCAAAAAACAATATTGATTTTTTTGAAAACTGGTTTTGTGTAAAAATCATAGTTTTTTCTTAATTGTTTGTTTATTTTTCCAAACATTTTTGAAAACTATTGAATATTTTTTACTTTCTACCCCAGAAAGTTTCGACTAGATTCACTTTATACTACCTATCAGAAAAAATGCTGTTGAAGAAAATCGAAGTATTTTTACCGTCCCACTAGGCACTAAGTGATGACAGACACAAAATAGAAACTAAAAAAAACACACATCATTGTAAAATCAATACCTACATTCATCGCTCCTCTCAGATAATGAGGAATACTATTTTAAATTTTGAAATCATTTATTGTGTTACTCAAAAACTAATAACTGTGGACACTTGAAATTTTCACTAAATATTTATATTATTATTTTTCATAAAAATTATAGATTAACATTTTCAAAATATTTTGACTTTTTTTGAGCTATTTATGCCTTGAGAATTTTTTTTTAATTATCCTCGATAAAAACTTTTCATTAAGGAAAAAGCTTGAATTTTTAATGCAAGGGTTCTTTTAATTTTCTTTATTGGAAGTTCAAAAATATTAAAGATACATTAGGCACAATTATTTTTTGTATGCATTTAAAGCTCAAATTGTTGTCATGATCTTGAAAAATTTTCAGTCAGAAATTCATAAAAGTTTTTCTTTTTATAGCTTAACTTAAAAATAGTTCTACCTTTAACAAAAAAAAAATAGTTTACAGGAAAATTACTCTATTTATAGATAAAAGATATTTTCGATTTTTGTTATTTTTTTTTTTAGTTTTTTAATTTTATTATTTGTACAAGTATGCTAGGATGACACGTCTTCTCTCAGAATCGTTTTTGTATGCAATGGTTTATCATTGGATTCAAATATAACACATATATTACAATGACATACTCGACAACTACTGTACAGCGGAGCGGTACGCACTTGTCAACCTTTTTTAGATTGTGTGCAGTACAGAATTGTATGATAGTATTAAAAACATAATATTAATTCATGTAATGTATTAAATATTTTAATAAATCGATTAAGTTATAGAATTTATTCAATACTTTTTTGATTTTCCAAAGTTTACCCAGAGTTTGGTTTAATATTGTTATATTTTTAAATGGTCATTGGTAGCAACTTTTACAATTAATATTTGAAAGTAATATATTATAATAACACTACAAAACAAAAAACAAACATACTTACAAGTTATTAATAATAATTATTAAAAATAATGAAATAAATAATATATTATCTCTAGTTATAAAAAATAAAATGTGTGTGTAGTTACAGAAAAAATTTTTGTACATTCTTAAAAAATAATAATTAACATACATAAAAATTTAAAAAACTATTTTAATCTGTTTAATCATTTTAAACATGAAATGACGACAGTCTAAAGTTTAAGTCATCGCACAAAAAAATTTCATCATATTTGGGTATAAACTAACATGTTAAACTAAAAATACATTTTAACATTCAATTAAATCATTTTATTATTTTATCATTTACATAACTGAAATATGTTTACGTTTTGCTAGTTTTATTTGTATTTTCAAATCAAGTATGGCCTCTCGTTCTTCTTCTATACTTTTAAATAAGTTCATTTTCTGGAACTTATAATTAGGCACATAAGTAAATTATTTAATAGCATTCAAAATATATACTTACTTGCAGCATTTTATATTCACTTAACAATGCACTGTTATCAACTGTTGTTTCGTCAATTGGATACATAAAATATTCTCTATACAAACAATAAATATTATTTAATAAATCTATTAAAATATTTAGTCTAATAGGTATATTAGAATATTCAATTGAATACTATACATTTTAAAGTATTTTTTTTAGGTATTCAGCATTATACTGAAAACCAGATATATGCTAAATATAAATATAAATACCTAGCATTAACAATTATTCCAACTGATGCCAGCTTAGTTTGCAACCGATCAATTTCACATTTTTCTTGAACTATATAATCTTTTAAGTTCGCAATGAGTGACATTAATTCTTCAGATTCATACTGTAAGACTAATTCTTCATTATCACTATCTAAAAGTTAATTTGTATGATTACAACAAAAACTTAATTTATTTACAAATCAAAAATATAAGCTTGATAATAAATCCTCTTTATTACCTGAAGTTGTTGTTTGTATTTCTTCATCAACTAATGAACTCTCACAGTTTGATATGTTAACAGTATCACTTGTTATGGACACTACTTCAGCTTTACCTGATACACTGTTGTTAGAGTTTTTTCTGTTTAGTGCTGTCTGAGTTCCAACTTCTTCAAACTTTCCATTTATCGGGTCTTCTACTTTGGTCTTTTCTTTTGAAGCTTTGTGGTTATCTTTTTCCAATACCTTAAGTTTTCTTTTCAATTGTGTAATGATCCTTTGTACATCCCACAACTCTTCTTCCTTAGTTTTACACACAAAGCCAGCATTCATTTCACGGTGTATGTAACCAAGGAGTGATTCTTGTTTTTTTAATTCAATGGTCATTTCTTCTTTACCAGATGGCAGATAAGGGCTTGCACATCTTAAAGGCGGTATATATTTGTGTAAAATGGCACAAGGAAACAAGTCATTTTTTTTTGTGACAAGGAATGAGAATAACTTTTGAGACATTTGAAGAACAGGGCAGAGGACACAACCAAAGTTTGTAGTGTTCATCTTAGTATACTTTTCCTAATAACAAATATAAAAATCAGTGTTATATTATTAAATATTATGTCATCAACTTACATTTTCTATGATACTAGTAAAATGAACTATTAACCAAGTGAGTGTATGCTTATTGCATAGTGGAAGTTCTGAAATTAACAACTTTGCTAATTCATTATTTTGCGTTTCAGCAGCATCTTCAAATTTTGATAATAAATCCGGTGTCAAAATAGGATCAGGAAGTTCTCTATAAATTTGTTTTTAAAATCATATTTTCACAAAATAAAAAAGAATTAAAACACAATACCTTAAATATTGTTTCAATAGACTCGTGACAACAGCTAAATCATAATCAGTCAAATTGACAGATTGCCGTCTATTATACTGAATTTTAAGGCTTTGTACTTTAGATTTCACTCCAGGTACTTTATACACACCATCAGTACATAAACCTAAAATTAAAAAAAATGTATAAATACATGAGTTTTTTAATTTATAACATGGTTAGAGCACTATTTGAAAATCAAAATCAAAATTTTTGTTTTTGTGTTCTTTAATCATTTTAGATAGAATTATAGAAAATGTATAATGTTGGTTTAGGTTTATAAATAATTATATATAACTTTATTAATTTTATATTAGTATTTCTATACACTTTTATGAAAATTCAAATTTGGGTAGAAAGTTATGTATGTACTATGGTCTATGTGCATATATTAATTTTAGATTCCAAGCAGAATATATTGGTTTTACAATGATGTGTGATTTTTATTTTTTTATTTGTCTGTGTCATCACCTTTAAAGACAGTAAAAACGCTTGGATTTTCTTCAAGAGTATCTTTTTGGATAGGAAATTGAATCATGTTTCTACTTTGGGGGGGGGGGGTCAAAAATAAAAAATTCCCAATAGTTTTTAAAAGCATCGGGAAAAACAAGAAAAAATTAAGTTATATGTTTATTTTACCAATTCCTATACTTGATAAAATATTTTGACTCATTTAGGGCGGGTTAAGGACATTAAAATTTTTTTTTTGTTTTTACTCTTTAAAATTTAAATATAAACAAAATTTTATTCGTAGCGTCATAAAGTGTAAAAATTTAATACAAGGCTCCTGAATCCTGATATATTCTTACAATAGCAGTTGAAAAATATTAAAAATAAACAGGCCCAATTTTTTTTTATAAGCATTTAAAGTTTGAATTTTGAATTTTGACAAAATTTATTTAATATAAAATTAAAAAATGATTTTGCAGTAAAAATTTATAAAATGTTCAACTTTTATAACCAAGTATTGTAAATTTAATACATGGTTCCACAACATGGTAAATAGGTAAATAAATTTCTTTATTCACAATACTATTATAAAATATACTTAGTTATACATCATAGGCTAACAGTTAGGTTAAGTTGGGTTATGTTAACCTAACCTTCTTCGCTCAGAATTGTTTTTTGTATACAACCATATTAGATATGTCACTGAATTCAAAATTTACACTATCCATTACAGTGACCCACTTGTAACCTACTATGCATCAGACTTTGTGTAGTTAGTAGGTGGGAATGTATAAAGATAACTATTGTGAGACTCTGTAAAACACAAAATTACCTATAGATGCTTACCATGCATTTGTACGTAGTCGATACAATTTCTCATAACTAATGGTAAGTGTATATCATCATGGCACGGATTTCGTTCAAATGATATTTCTAATGGAACTCCAAAAACAGGTTGATCTTCTACATATTAAAACAGTTAAAAGTTGTTATTTAAAATTTGTTAGTTTATAAAATAAAATAATTTTAATTACCGTATAAAGAACCTATGTCAACAGAATCTTTTCCATCAGATCCTTTTTGTTTCTTTTTTTCTTTTATTTTACTTTTGGGTTTATCTTTCTTTTTGTCTTTTTCTCCATCTTTTTTCTTTTCCTTAGGTACGTCTTTAGAATCTTTATCTTTGAGCTTCTCATGCTTCTCTTTTTTTATAGGAAATTTAAAGGGTTTTATCTTTTTTATTTTCGATGGACTTCTGTAAGATATTATTATTAATTATAGTTACTACTATATACTATTGTCTATTAATTATAATTAATTTGAAAAAAATATTTATAAAAATGACTTAAAAGTAAATTACACTAAGAAGTAAGAATATTTGATTTATATTAAAGTTTTTAAATTTTTAAATGAAAGTTGTTAGAATTGAAATAAAACATTGATCATAATGCACTATCGCCACTATGCTTTACTTTCTCAATCATAAGTATTTTAACCATACTTACTTTGCATCAGGCTCTTCTTCCGGAGAACTTTCACCTTCAAGCGCTGCATAACCACGGTCTTTTTTTTCTTTGCGTTTACCTGTATCCATTAAAATTATAACATTACTGCTAGTTATTGATACCAAGCTTAAATCATCTTAGTATCAAAGATATTTATATAGTTTCCATTACCATCAGAGTCTTTATGTCCAATTTCTGTGGACGCATATAATCCTGGGAAATCTTTCTCGACGTCCGGGCTATCAAAATCCATAGCTTCTCCCAGAAGTGATTAATCGTACTCTAAGCTCTTAAAACTGCACTGGACTGGGTGCAGCGGGCAAAGCAAGTTGTGACTTAAAAAAACCAAGAGAACGTTAAGTCAGCACTAAGTTTACAAGGTTTCAACAGAACAGGCGTCAGGAAGATTAGGCAGAAGCAGAATAGCAGATCGCAGATGATTGCGTTATCAACACTGCCGACCTGCAGTAATTCGTAAATATAGTAATATAGTAAAATTCAATATTTATAAACAATACTAAACTTGATTGCTGTTATCACAACCACAACAACAACAACAACAACGCTGCGCACGGAGACGATAAGACACGATGAGTCACCGTGGTCCGGCACAAATTCCATGACGGAGTGGGGAAATGATTCCGTCACGCACTTCAGCCCTACCCACTTTGTCTTGCCACCGAGCGTGTTTGGCAGGAATGAATTTCTACCGTCCGTACCAGCGGCTGGTGCATAGTATCGCTCACCGTGTTGTGTTCAGCACGGACTAAGATATATCTTAGTCCGTGGTGTTCAGTCTCTTATCAGTTGTCATTCACGTGCGGTCTGTTGTTCACGAAATTGAGTCTTCCTCTTCCGACGACGTGTTTTTAGCGAACGCATTATAAATTCGTTTGACGACGACGATAATCGCACACGTCAAATGATCTCTACAAGTGCTGTTTAGGTTTCTATTTTTCATACCAGCGGCTGATATGCCGGTCAAGGTAAAATGGAAAACCGTTTGTGCGGCAGTATTGGTGTTGGCCGTCCAACTGGCCACCGGCATGTTCGTACAGAGACACTGCAATCATTTGTATCCCAAGCCAGACGAGGTAAGAAGAATTACGAAGTTTCATAATAATTTTGTGTTATTTTTCTTATATCTGTTATATACTGCCACACTGGTAATTATTGCGGTGACCGATTTAAATATGCACTCTCTGAAGTCATATCGATTGCAGGACTCCGTAGGTAACTATGGATTATAGTACGTCCTGTTCCTAGGTTTATTACAAGTTTTTTGATTGTCACCAGAATCTTACGTATAAGTATGTATGTGAATTCTGACTAATTTATGTTAAATTAATAGTAAGATTTTTATAAGAATCCTGATAGTCTTGACTAGCTTATATTTGATATGTGTGTTAATCAGAGATTAATATTTAATTTTTGGTTGGAAGAATTATGTCTGTCTGATACAAATATACAATAGATCAAAAACACACGCAATTCCTTAGAGTACCACTACGGTACTACATACTAGAAATATTGTATTTCAATCACCAAATTTCCAAATATATTAACGTTGCAGCCTCAGTGGTTCCCAACCTTTTTCTACGCCCCCTTAAACATTTTCAAACATCTCACGTCCCCTTTAAATTAGACGACCTTTTGTGCTTCAAAATCGCTATATATATTAAACAACTATAATGACTTATTAGTTATTTCTTTTTTTCACCATTTTAAAAATTAAATAATATTAATCAACTTAATAATTAATACCTAATATATTTTTGAATACCTATAATTTTATAAATATTTATATATTTAATATTAGAAGTAAAATTAATTTATTGTTTTCAATTTTACTGATTGTAAAATGGCATAATTATTTTAACAACAACATTCTCGTTATTTCATCATCACCATATTATTCCCCCCGTGTAGTATCTAAATCCCCCCCCCCCCGGTTGGAACCACTGCTGTATCTGATAACCTGCAGTTGTGGTTTATTATTCAATCGAACAGTTTTTAGTCTATAAATAAAACTAATATTTTCCTATTATTAAAGCCTGACATTTTTCATAAAAACGTTAATTGGAATCTATTTATATAATAAAATTACGAGGCACTAAAATTGAAATTAATTAGTATATAGTATACCTATGTAATAAGTAGGTACCTAATAATTATTAAAAATAAAGTAGGTACCTATTTGTAGATAAATAGTTAAATCGAGGGTTCAATATTACCCCAATATAACCTGTACGATTTCATTAGATACAAACGATACAAAAATGTATCTCTATGTATTTTGTTCTTTGTAGTTTATAAAAATAACGGAACAAAAATACATCTAATACTTTAATACAAGTAAATTACATCACAAATTTGATTAATTCAACTTATATATATAATATAGTACAGTGAAAAATCCATATAACAAACTTCCATTTAACAAAATTTTCTGTTTAACGAAACATTTTTATGAAACAAATCAAATTAGAACCAAATTTATTTAAAACTATTTAACGAAATTCTATTTAGGTAATATGAATTTTATTTGTTGCCCATAAGACTTTGTAATTTGGAAGTTTTACTATATTTGGTAAAATATGTTAAAATTATACTTAATAGGTGGGTACGTAATTTATTTTGAGTCAAAAAAATCCTATTTTAATTATATATTTTGCATATTTTTCCTTAAGAGGATGTCAGCGCACTATTTGTTTTCTATCTCTGGCCCACGCGCAGCATAGACAAAACGCATTAACGCAAAATCATTTTTTCTATGTTTTAAGTAATCTTAGAGTAAAATCACCTATTACAAAAAAGATAGAGAATAATATTTTTGAGGGAATATCATATCGATTTTATATTTTATTGTTATTTGACTTTGTATTCGACTTTCAAAATAAACAAAAAAATGTTGTACATTAAAATGATATTTAAATTGTTTTGAGACAATATTTAGACAAATCGATATGACATTCCCTCAAAAATATTATTCTCTATCTTTTTTTAATGGGTGATTTTACTCTAAGATTACTTAAAAACATAGAAAAAATGTTTCTGCGTAAATGTGTTTTGTCTATGTTGCGCGTGGGTCAGAGAGAGAAAACAAATAGTGCGCTGACATCCTCTTAAATTACCTATTACCATGTATATAATTAAAAATGCATACAAATATTTATATGTAAATATTCAGCAGTTAATGAAATCATAAGAATTATAATAGATTTAAGTGTTTATTTGTTGGCAAGTTAATAATTAGAATTGATGAATAGGTATGATGAAACAATTAAAAGCTCTAATTTATAATTCCTAATTTTATATTGGTGTACCCTGGCAACCTGTATCTCCCCTCAAAATAATTCATAGTATTATTATTTATTGACAAAATTAAAAAATGAATTGTATTGTTTTAAAACAAACAAATTATTACAATCTGTAAGAAATCAATAAAATATAGAACAACAAGTTTGTACAATAGGTACATAATATAAGAAAAATACAAGTATAGAACGACTTGATTTTATTGTAAAATATGTTATTAAATCTTTGTAATGAATAAAACATCCTTTAATTGATATTCTTGCATAATATTAGCGTTTATATAGCAAATACAAACAGATTACAATAGAATTTTAGTTAAGTTAAACACTTATATAGGTAAGTATACTACTACTGCCATTAACAAGGAAGTATTTAAAAGTCTGGATAAACTTTAATTTTGACTTTGTAATTAACTTTCTTCATTTTGACGTATTAAGTATATTTACTTGTATTTAAAAGTTTTTCAATTAAAATTCAAGACATTTTTTCTCAATTAGAAATTAGAATGCATTTTTGTGTTATGCCTTTTTTGTGGTCACTCATGGTATGCTTAAGAAATTTCGCACAAGGTTAACTGGGTATAAATTATGTAATTATTTATTATTACTAAATAAAAAAAATTCAGGTCAAATTCACGTTCATTACAAATTTATCGAATATCGGATATGATTAAAAATCGTATGATCCTCGTCAGACTTGTTTATGAAAAATAAATAAAAATTGGATGATTCTACTAGGTAGTGAGTTTAAAAGATTAAAATCTAATATTATGAATTCAATAATGTACGATTTTTAGTAATGTAAAAATTTTAATTATTTTCAAAAACTAAAACGTGAATTTAAATATTAAAAGTATATTAATTTTATAATTTATAGATATTATATTAGGTATATTGTATTATTTATTCTTCAAGTAATTGAATCATCTTCAGTCATGGACTAGGTAATATTTTTTCCATTACAATTACTATAGCAATGGGGCCATCAGAGTTTTTTAATTGTGCTGCCAAAATTTAAACATGCCAAATTTTTTCATCATCTTAAATATATTTTATGTATGTTTAATGTATTGTGCATTTGTAAATGTATGGATTCGAAGGGTTGTGTGTATCATATTTTAATGAAATAAAAAAAATGGAAAGTTCAATGTTGGATATAGCTTTGGTCATGCATAACAATAATATACATCTATAAATAATAAATATACATTATCTTGTCCTACATAATATTACATTATTGTTTTCGTAATATATTTTAAGTTTTAACTCTTATACATCGGCATCGGCGCGTTTGTAAATTTTATGGCAGACCTATAAGAAGCAGAAACAATAGGGGTGCCGCGATACACCCTAAGTTAACACGACCATTGCATTTCATAGTTCAATTCTCCTAAAACCTTCAATATATATTTTATTTTTATGTTCTCGTTCCTTGATATATGGAAAACTTTCATAGATGAGCATTTTCAAATATTAATATTTTACACAGTCATAACTCCCTTAAAGGGTTTGATACCTAATAGATCAATTCACTCTGATATCAAAACTAACAGCACAATTAAACTGCTGAATTTTCAATGTCCTACACTTGTGTAAGACGGAGAAAACGCATACGGATACTACATAATCCTCGTAAGGAATATTGATGTTCAATTCTAAAAATAACATTATTATTTGTCACTACGAAACAATGTGTACCGTGCGATATTAAAAATATAAATAATATTTACCTATTGGTAATTAATATAGGTAGGTAATATACTATAAATTAATATTTTAATATCTTGTAATATTTAAGTATAAATAATAAATAGGTTATAGGTATTAAAACATAAGAAAATATAAATTTTTCTATGTAGGTAGGTAGTAGAATAGGTTAAGTTTATTCTATATAAGCTAAAATAATATTATATAGGTACCTACTGTATTATAGTATTATGTATGACATATATGTGTTATGTGTCAATCGTATAATGGCGTTGAAAAAGGTCGATTATTCAGAATTTTATGTCTGTGATATTAAAAACCGTAAAAAACCAATCTTATAACTTATAAGTTATAAATATAGTTCTTAAAGGTCATTAGGAGATTGGGTCATCAACTCATCCGTAAACCTGTTATCTTACTTGTATATTATACTATTAAAGGTATGTTGGCATTATTTTCTAGTGTATGATGAATGTAGATTGTAGGTATAAGATATTCAATCAAACAAATTATTGTTGTTGTTAACCAAAACATATTTTGGTAAACAATTATCATATCGAACTTGAATTGAGCCCATAAAATATTTTGGTAATGTAATTTTTATATTTATATCAGGTGGTCCATTTTAAAAGTGGGTTAGTGGATGTCGCTCTGCTGTACAGTAGGTTACAAGTGGGTAAATGTATAATGGATTGTATTTAACTTGAATTCAATGATATAATATCATTGTATAAGAAATACGATTCAGAGCGGAGACTGTTTGTCTGTGGATATTTTTTATATTGTTATTATAATATATTATAACCTGTAAGTTGAATTACCTAATATTAAAATATTATTTTTTTTTATTCGTTTCTATAGTGACAAACAAAGCTTTAGAAATTAAAATCCCATTTTCAACGGTTTTTCGTAACTTGTCTGTGGTTTTTCCCGTGGCATTAAATATTTATTGAGAAAATCGAAAAATAACCTACCTAAAGTCCATCTTGATCCAATTTTCTAAAAGATAAGGTACTATATGTTGAAATCGAAGCATTCCTGCCTTCTGGTGGACATTTTGTACACAGGAT